TTAAAATAATAATCTAAAACATCTCGACTAACTCTGGTCCTCAGAAAGCAATATTAGAGGTACTTCATTTGGAAAGTTGCTCCGAAAGTGGTTGTGTAATACACCAGATGTACAGGTAATCTTCAACTTACAATCACTCATTTAGTGACCAATGGCACTAAAAAGTGACTTACAATCAGTCCTCACACGCTGTTGCATCCCAATGGGTCATGTGATCAAAATTTGGACACTTGACAACTGGCATGCATTTACCATGGTTGCCATGACTCAAGGCCATGTGATCGCCATTTACAACCTTCCCAGCCAGCTTCTGACAAGCAAGGTCAATGAGGGGAGCCAGATTTGCTTAAGAACCACAGCTGATTAATTTGACAACTACAGAGATTCACTTAACAGCTATGGCAAAAAGGTTGTAAAATTGGCATGACTCATCTAACAACCTTGCTTTGCAATGGTGTTTTTTTTTACCTAAATTGTGGTCATAAGCTGAGGACTCCCTGTATAAAGGTCTTCTGTAGCTTCCAAAGAAACTGAACCACCAAGCCTTTAACATCATGTCACTGCCACGGAAACCAAGTAAATGTCAAGCTTGAAAAAAGGAATGAGAAACTAATGGAAATCCCTATTTACTTTTTCTATAAACTTGATAAAAGGAGAAAAGACTACAAGATAAACAAGTACTCTAAAGAGCCAAAATTAAATGGTATAGGATGATTTTGCACTAGCTCTGCTCTAGATATAAATAGTGGCTAGTTGACCACTAATAATGCTTGCAATATCACCAAAGTGCACAATCATTTACCATACAGGATAGTATTAATGCAAATTTCGAATTTGGTGCACAATCATTTACCGCACCATACCATAACTTTTGAATTCATACCGCTAATCCTTATTCCTTCAGAAATAAAATCGGATTATTTACTTTGAGCAATTTATAACATCGTTGAAGGCATTCTGCCACTGAGTTTTCTACTTTAAAAACTTACTAGACATTGAGTTCTCTTGTCCATCAGAATGAGCTTTTTTTCTGCAAATATTCAGAGAATATAGCCAAGGAAATGTTATTTGATGACATTTCCTGGGCTAATGATAGAAGAATACTAATTCCCACACTATGGTTAATTTTAAGGTTTTATAGTAACTATGAACATCCAACAATAAGTCAAAGTTGAGAGCAAGTAAAATAATCATCCTCTTTTCTAGATGTGAAATGAGGTGATGGAATGCTAAAGTAATTTTCCTTTCAAAGGGATGTATATATTTTGCATAGCAAAGAAATAGAAATTGGAATTGTTTCAAAAGAATTCTGCATCAATCATTGAAACTGGACCTGATATTGAATAGAATTTACCAGTGACATTCCGAGATAAATTCTCTGGGTAATTTTGAGTCTTTCTTTAACGTGGTTCATACATGATGTTATTCCACAAATAGTTTCCCTCATAACTAGTTTTGATATCTGAATCTATCTAAAGTAAAAATCAGAATTTAATTTGGGAACAAAGCCTAATCTAGATTAAATCCAAAAACCCTAGTTTAGCTTTTCACACCTGAAACTATGAATCCTATGTTACTCTTGGCTTATTTTTAAGTGAGTCAGCTCTCCATCAGTCCAAAAGTGAGTAGATTTAAAAGGTACTATTTCTCAGGTTAAATTTTATTTGTATTTTCTTTCCAACTCCTCTCTGATAACAACTGTGTCTGCTTAGGTTTTCTCTCAGTCAAAAGCAGAAGAGAAGAACTGATCACTAAATGCAAATCACGTATCTGCTTCCCCAAACTACAAAAAAATTTTCCATGTCACAGAAGGAAAACTTGCAAAGCTCAGAAAAATATACATGGGCAAAATACATACATTATATAAAAATTCATAGCTCTACCACCAAACTCATACAAACACAAAATAACAAAAGGAACAAAACAAACAAACAAGATGTAAACTTTACATTTCCCAGGAAAAAAAATATCATGCCAACACTCCACCCAAAGAAAACATAGGAAAATATATTGCACAAAAACAGAAGTAACAAGAATCATCCAATGTTGTTTTTAAATGGCACTAACACATACTTCACAAAAAGAAAATAGTCCATAAAAATCCAAAAGCCGAGATTCATATACGTTTTAAAAACCTGCACTCATAAAGAACCGCAATAAATACATAAGAAAAATATACTTGCCCCACAAACAAATCTTTCTCTCGAGCAAGCATAGAGGGAAACGCCTCCATTATTATTAGGATGTTTGGGATATCATAGTCTAATGATATTGGGAAGAGACATAGATGGAAAACAAACTGGGAATTGGACAAACAGCTTATAGAATGATAACAAACAAGCCATGATTATTTTGCTCTTCCTTCATGACTGTAAGTTGTCTAGAGAACAGCAGTGAAAACAAAACTTTCACCTACGATAATGGATGAATGTAGCGTCCATCTCAATTCTACAATCATATATTGGGGAAATATTCTGCCATAGAGAGAATATCAGTAAAGCAAAACAATAATGCCATATTAAAAAATGGTAAGATCAATGAAACTATAAATTCAAAAATGTAAGCACGTCATTTATAACACAAACAATCAAGTTCCTCCACATATGCAAATGAAGGGGATATGGATCCATTTGAAATCAAGAAGGCAAACAGAGGTTGCTGGGTTTTTTTTTCATTTTTAATTGAGATTTGGGAGAGACAAAAATTATTCATTCTGTCAAGGATAACTTGGAGTATTTACATAACATGAAGTTATGTAGGGTGCTTTTTAAAGCAAATACATATTTTATTACCAAAGCATAATTTTATCAAAATAAACAAGGTAGGTAGGTAAGAAAGCTATTTTATTGAGAAAAAACTTGCAGAGTTTCAGTTCACCATAAAAAAAAAGCTTTTGTCCATTAAAAATGATATTGTGTAACATAGGAAACAAAAAATAGACCAAAATAAAGTCATGGATGTAATTTATTAAAGAATCTTAAAATCAGAACTTTAAAAAGAAGAGTCCTGGCTCCTTTGACCTCTTAAAAATCCCATTATAAAAGTGAACATTACAAGGTTCAAACAGACTTTTACCAGTCACCATGTCACTTGGTCTAACTAAAAGTACAGATATGATCTAAATGTACCACTTTAGATACATTTTGCAGAAAACATTTTTCTAGGTGTTTTGCTTTGCTTTCAAGTGACTACATATTTTTATTATTTTTCCTCATAGTTCTCCATCATGCAGTGCCAACTTTTCCCTTCTATTTACTGAAAAAGTCAGCCAGTTTTTTTCTTTTTTTTCTTGAGGGAAGAGGAAAGAGTTTGTTAAGTTCAGCTTGCTAAGAAAATATCTTGGCATTATGAACTGCCATACCCCTTCTGATTAATATATCCACCCTTGTAATAAACAAAGGCGGAGAGGAAAACCAGGGCACTGTTCATTACTGAGCGGACCCAACCTGCCAGATCCTGTAGCCAAAGTCCTAAGCCAATAGAGCTGGCTTTGGGAAAGGAGAAAGGGACTTGCACAATTAAATATTTATTATTGCTGTAAATATTTGGTGCTGGCAACAATTTGTCTTCCACTGGCTGCCAAGGACCACTATTGAGAAACTTAAGGAACCTCAACAAACAAATGTGAAGCAATTACAAGATACAAAGGAAAATACTCTTTAAAACAGCAGTGATGTGGTGGTAGATTTGGACACTTCCAGTAATTGTAACAAGATGGCAGGGGAGTAATACCATATCTCTATATAAACTAAGTCCTCTGTCAGCACAATGAGGAAAAGACTAAAAATTAGGGGGGGGGGGGGGGGGAATTGAAGAATAACAAAAGTTCCAAGGTCCAGGGTAAGCCAGGAAAGCCATCCTGGATGTCAGAACTCTTCTGAGTAATTTTTACTGTGTCTGAAATTAGTTCCAAAACCTATACTTTGTGGCTAGTTAGATTAAGTTTTCCCTCCTGTTTTAATTAGAAACAATTTATGTCAAATATTGTACCACCCTAGAGACAATGCTGGAATTAGAACCAATCATTGGGTATTTCTTAATGATACAATTTCCATTGCCCTGACTATTCAAAGGACAAGCAACTTCAGCCTGAGTTGAAATAAGTTTATATCTAAAATCCTATTGATTTAAAGTTGTTAAGGGGTTGCAGAATAAATGCTACAAATAACTGCTAAATATTGAATTTCACTCTCTAGATATTTAGCATCATCATTTTCCAATCTATATCTTACAAATAAGGACCTAAACTGCTTCCCAAATGCAGTCAACCTTTTCCCATGTAAAACTCAAATATTTCATATCTTAAATCAGTTTCATACAACTGAGCTGCACAAAGAGATTTATGTAAATGTTACAAAGCAGTTTTCACCAATTCAGCACTTTCACATATATTCAGACGAACTTTAAGAACTTGCAATCAGCAATAATATTGGAACAACAAGTACATAAGAGGCATTCAACCTTAGGAATAGACATACTTGAAACAAGTTTAGACTACTAGAAGACTTAGAGCTCCAACTTATCCACCACAAATCAGGCTTCTAACTCTATTTAGCCCCCAAAGGCCATTTTTCATCTACAATAGCATGTGGAATTTAAAATGGTTTGGACTTCCATAAAATGACTAAGTGTTCAGTTTGCTTTTGGTATTGCAATAAATCCTAAATTCAGAATATATTCAGAGACACTTTTTTTTAATTTTAAGTATATACTATATTATACTAGAATCTGGTGGATATATTTTGACATTTCAAGCAGTTTTGCAATAAATACGATATTTACCTACCTTGATATAAGGTACTATATTGGAAGGAATGCAAACTATTTGTTAAGATACAGAAGCTTTCATTTCATCACATCCATGAAAAAAAACCCTAGCTATTCCTATGCCATACCAACAACTGAAATTTTATAATTTCATTTTGTAGAACTAAAGAATCTACAGTACTATTTTCCATTTCCCATTTTTAGTTGTTTCTATATTAGAATCAGAGACATACCTTTCCTTCACACACCTCAACAACTTCAAGCTTCCTTTACTGTATTCAGGGAATTGGACATTTTACAAAGGTTCTTCTAAAAGAACTATCCCATCTTCAAGGATTTCCTTGCCATTCTGACCATAACTGGGATTACCCTTTTCTTTTAATGAAACCAGACAATTCCTGTAACGTAGGACTAGGAACACAGATTACGGTTAGCAAATTAAATACATGTTTGAATTAAATATACCTGGAATTTAGTCACTATTAGGGAATCACCGCTTTTAAGATGAGCTTTTAAAATAGATATTTTTAAAAAGTATATAAAAAAACCGTACAATGTTAAAAGGTATAGTCTGCTATTTTCAATTTTATTTTAAACAAATTTCATAATTCCTTAAGCAATACAACAGAAGATGTGCTCATGGGATCAGATTATAGATTCATATTTGGAGTTAATTCTTCACCAAAATTAGCTTTCTTATCAGTCTCAAAAATAGTTTGTACCATCCAAGAAACTTGCAGCTTGGCAAGTAATGGAGTATTTATATTACTACTTAGCCAAATTCAAATTTCAACCCAAGCTAAAAACAGAGTCATCGTGCATGCCAAATCTCCTTCAACAATGCTTGTGAAAATCAACCCTTTATTATTACAGCGCTGCCTGGAAATATAGAAGTAATTCAGCCACACTCTTTTTTTCTCTTTTTCTTTTTTTAAACTTTTTTTTAATGGGGTCATGGGGGATTGAAGCAGGGTCCTAAGTTCCTGGGTGCTCATTCTGGACTTTTAAAAGGGTATAGACAGTGCCTACCTCCATCTGCACACATGGATAAATTCCCTAAAACTGCTTTGTTCACTCCTGCATGTGTGAGTCATTACACAAACAGTTTCCGTTTGAAAGGATCAAATACCGCCAGATAAATCCAGAAACATGTTAGCTCCTATCCTGCCCTCAAGGAACACACTATACACATGCTCTGTAGTCTAACACTACATATGCACATGGGTCATTTTATCTTTTTAATGTATAATGCTGCATGCATTCCTCTATACAGCTATACCTCAATACCATACTTTTATGCAGGTAAGTAAGTAGTAGTTTCTTCTAAATTATACCAAACTGCTATAGCCAAGATACTGCAATATACACACTTGAAAAATAACATTTGAGTCTTTGGGTATGCAGACCTAATCACTATGTAAACAGTGCACACTACAGTTCCCATACAATTTGTAAGATTCTTGCTTACTACATATGTATTTCATGTATTTCTTACTAAATCACTTTGGAACAAATTCTTTCTGTTTGCTAACCTGAATGTGCCAGCTCCCATCCTAACTGTGTGATGTTAGATGTACAGTCATGCCAGTAAGTTAGAATAAAAAGCTTACCAAATATATCAAATGACAGTGACTTTTCCCCTTTTGTTCAAATCCTTAGAAATTTATATGTTTCTGTAAATGCCTACAGTTCTTAAATGAATCTAAGTTTTAACATCGTTAAACAGCTAGAAGATTTCCAGAAGGAAAGCAGAAATTCTGATATTTTTCCATTTTTTACTGCAAGTTTTCTCACTGAGGGATAAGGAGGCTCAAAGAAAATGGGAATAAAAGGATTTGATTCTGTCTCCTTCCAAAGACACAAAGGATATGAAAGAAGTGCAGACTATTTGGTGATAAACAAATGCTGTAAAGGCAAGTTAGCAGAGCATGTTATAGAAAACAAAGATTTTAAAAATCTGCTAATAGTGCTCACACCTCAATCCAACAATCCTTCTGACCTGATGTACTTGCATTTTATCTTCAATAATCATTCTTCCATATAGAATAAACAAAATGGGAAATCAGGTTTGTGCTATGAATCATTGCTCTATGAACCTGAGTTCATCCTACACAAATATATTTTCAAATGCACAATTACACTTTTAAATGTTTTCTTCTTCCTTATTTTGGCTGGTTAAATTGTTCCATGGATATCCCAATTTTAAGAAAAGATACCTTAAATAGATAGAAATTCAATAATAATCAGTTATATTCATACATAATACATATTAAGAATTTGTAGGAAAAAATCAGTTCAGTTTGTCTCTACTACATTCTTGATTAAATTTCTTGGTACATAAGATCTTTTTAAAAGCAAAAAAAAGATACACTGTTTTAAATTTCATGTGCAAACTATATACCCCAGGACTAAAACTGCTCTGTGGGAAAAACAAAGTCAAATAAGAAAAATAACATTTGTAATTTAAAAACAAAACAAACATTTCAAAAGCTTTTGATTATTATAGAAGACTGCTTATAGCGAACAAAGGATATAACTTCTAAGGACCAAAAATCAGAAAATATAACTAAGACAAATCAGAAAGTATGGCTAAGAGAAGCTGGCAAATTTGAAGCATAGCCATGAAACGTAAAATTAGCAAATTTCAACAAAATTCAAAATAAACTTTTAAAGTAAGTTTAGTTTAGAATACACTTTCATATTACTCACATTTCCCAGAAGAAAGATTTTTAGTTCTCACTTAACTTCTCCTTCCTATCAAGCATTTGGGAGGTGTGCTTTAACCTGCCGTGCAGCAATTACTCACAGAGTAAGGAGGAAATCACTCAGCCCTGGAGGCAAGTGAAGTAGCCAAGTTTGAAAGGTGGCATCCTGTTCTATCCAAGAGTAAAACAATGCCGAATGGAAAATAATTAAATCAAAATGGGCAACACTGGGATTTGAAGTTGCCAATAAATAATGCTAAAAATGTTTGCTACCCAATTTAAGATACCTCAGATGAAGCAATGTACTTTTGCAGTCAAAAGCAACCTTCTCCATAAAGAATTAATAAAGTAACCTAGTTCTACCTGAAAGTTTGATTATTAAGAGCCTGCAACAAATGTCTTACAGAACTTCAAAATCAAGTGTCTTTGTAACATTAAATTGCCCTTTTAAAGCTGTGCAATCTTAGAGAGAGAAAATGCCTTTCTTATTAAGAAACACACGTGCTAGCAGGGAAGGAAGATTTGAAGAAGGAAATTCCTTCTCTCTCCTCAACTTTTTGCTTCTGCTATGGTAGAGGTCAGGTAAAAATCAACACAATTCCATTCTTTCTAAAGAGACTCACAAGATAATAAATAAATAGCATACACGGGTAATCTATATGTGCCCTTTTCCACATTCTGTAATATTCTGTAACATATAGGTTAAAAAATTTCCACTACCATATGTCTGAAATATAAACAAAGAGTTGATTAAAAACTATCGTATACACACTTGCCTGGTGTAAGCTCCATTAAACATAATGAGATTAATTTTTGAGTTAGTATGCACAGGATCGGACCATAATTCATCTTAAAAGTAAAATGCAACAGAATCTTTTCTTTTTCCAATCTTCTTCTCCACATATAACAGAAATATATTTTCAGCTTACCTCCCCCCACTCCTCCCCTATTCCAACCCCACAGCAAGACACACACAAACATTATCAGATTCAAAAGCATCCCCTGTGCCATGAGAAAAGAAATGCTCCTAGGCTTCTTTGGGCAAAAACTTCACAACTGACTGAACATAGTTCCCGGCTTGGTTATTAGAAACGAAAAAGAGAAAGCGCCTCAAGTGCTTATTTTATTTGCTCTTTGCTTTATGGATTTTTTTTTCGTCTTAAGAAATCCTTCTTTCTATAAGAGAAATCTGAGTTAGGAGCACACCAAAATTCTTCTCTGTTCTTGCTTTTAATCTCCTCCAATAAAGGAATAATAAGGGGAAATGTTAATTATTAAATCTAAATGGATATGCTTAGACCTAAACTACTCATCTAAACTATTGTTCATCACCTTTATGGACTAAAAAGTTATCAGTCGGAGAAGAAGGGAATTCAATGCCAATTTCCTAGTTTTCTTACAATATTGCACAATGGAGGCGTAATAAGACATCCTTATCCCTACTATGTTTCATATTCTGAAGTTCTTTCCTATCCCAATGTTGAATGAACTTTTTGTTTTGTTTTGGTCTGCCATATAATGCATAAATGAATAGATTATCCAGGATTTTTATTTTTATTTTCACTGCAAAGATGTTCTCAAATTAATTATATGAAACAGTAATAAATTAAAACTATTTTAGTTTTAGGAAATTATTTTTACAAACCTATACTCTGAGCATTTAAGATTTACATATACATTATACATACACACCAAATATTCATTCAAGGACTCAACTGAACTTTGAATAACTTTCTAAGAAATCTCCAAAATAGACTGAATGACTTTTAATACATTCATTCCCATATGAGAAAAAATAATTTTCTGAATCACTTTTCTGTTCTTATTTTTTGGTTTGCACAATAAATAACTGATCCAGATTGTTTTCTGCCCAGCTTTATAGAATCTGCCTGATTTTTTTTTACTAATTCAGAATGAAAAATATTAAATATTTTGAAATCAAATTATCTGAGGATCACTTACCTTTAGATTTTAGCTTTATTTTAAAACACAATAAAAATTAAGATTACACTTCTTCATTGTAGCATCAGAATATTTTATATAATTTAGAAGTTACTCTGTGGATTTTACTTCTATATGTATATAGTATTAAATAAAGTTCATTTTGTATGAACTTTCTCAATAGAGTGCTCAATGCTGTTACCAGCTAACATATACAATTGATGAGTTCTATTGGCTGAAGGTTAATATCATACACTGTGTAAATTTCATACAAAATGGCCTATTAGCGGAACAAGTCTCTTTCTTGTAATGGTACATCTGGATAATATTCTACATTATTATATCAAGCAATACTTCTATTTCTTGTCCCCACACCCTACACCCAATATCTGAAAATATTAAAGGTCTAATCTAGAGCTAAAAAGTGGAATTGTCTAGAGTAGAAGACTGCCTTATAAACTTTATCTTCAAGAGACAAATGCAGTTTTTGGCTGGAGCACATATTTGAAGTTTTCAATGAACTCAGAAAGAGATCTATAAATAAAGGGCTTACAACTACCATGAGGGTGTCCAGCACACTTCTCTTAATGCTACACTTAAAAAGAATGTAATGTCTATTCCTATTTATGCAACATGTATTATGAATTTGAGGAGAATGTGCTAAAATAGCTTTAAATAAAATATGAAATTCAAGAGAAAGTGTTTTCTTCCAGGTACATACTAAAAATAGAAGATGCCAACATTAGCTAATTATCAAAGAAAAAAATTGCACTTATTGTATTCAAACTGTTTTGCCTTACAAAACTTTGTATAAGGGCAGCATAAACATATGTGTACAAGAACTAGGGGAAAAACAGAACTTTAGTAATATGGGCAGGAAATAAATGTTAAAATTATTTATCCCTGTTGTGGGAAAATGAATATTATAAAAATGGGTCAATACATTTCCCAAATCTATGCAAACTATAATTCTTTCAATAGCTTGCTTGAAACTTCTCAGTTGCCCAAATAAACGTGAAAATAGGGGATATTGGCTGAGGTTTACTGGGCTATAGTCTGCGAACTAAACATCAATCTGAAACAATTGTAAAATTGTCCATTTAAGATTCATCTTAATAATGAAATTTTGATTGTCAATTTTTTAAAAATTAGAAATCTCAGTTAATGCACTGAGCAATGTTATTTCAAGTGCCACTCCATCTGCTAATTACTTTTTAATAAACATACATTATAGATATTTGTATCATTTTGTGCTTCTATTCATTTATAGAACTCTTTATTATTTCTGTTGAGAAAAAATTAGAACTAGCATACTACATTAGGGCTAATAACATATCCAGTAGTTTCCCTGATACTTTTAGCCTAAACTAACATTTCTAGTCATAGGTGACATTAAAAAGGAAAGCCAACAAGAAAATTATGCCACACTGGCTGATGGAGCTTCTTTGACAGTGTTATATCCTGCACAATAAAAATATGTGTAAAACAAAGTCACAGTAAAAGGAAATGTTCTTTTGTAACTTTTATTCCACCTACCCTTTCAAAAAGCAGACCTATTACTTAAAAAAAGTTGTTTATAATAACATCATTTAAAATTTAGTCCAACTGGGGTATTTTCTAGCTATTTAAGGTTTTTCTACCATCCCAACGTTTTACAATCCCGAAGAAGAGAACGAACTCAAAAGCTGGTTTTTTGTTTTTTGCAAGGCAAGAATTTGAACCAAGTTACTGCCAGAAAAGTTACTCCACGAAGTGAAGTTGAGGATGGGGGGGGAGGTGGGGGGGGGAGAGCAGCCGTCCCGATCCGAAGCTTTCCTTCTCCCTCCCCTCCCCCACCCTGGTGTGTACTCAAGGCGGCCATAAACGCGAAAACCTTGGAGTCAACCCGTCCTGTCAATCACAATAAATTGTAATTCACAGACACACTTACCGAACTGATTGATCTGGAGAAACCCCAAAGCGGTTTTGCAACATCTTCTCCCCACCCCTCGCCGCATTCACAAAAAAACAGAACAGCCAAATACACACACTCACGCAAACACGCTCGCCGTTTCTTCCTTCATTTCCCCCACCACCACCACAGGCAAGATCCTCCTATCTCTGCCTCCTCTCCTCGCCGCCGCCCCCGCCCCCGAACAAAGAGGAAGCCTTCCAACGTGCCACTTTCGTCGCCGGCCGATGCCCCATCCATCCTGGGGGTGGGGAGGGCTGGCTCCGCACCCCTCAACCCCCGCCTCGGCAAAATCCCGGCCGAAAAGTTGCCTCCGTCAAGAACCTTTTCTCTTTGTCTCTCGGCCGCTTCAGGTCCCGAGTGCCCCGAACTTTCACGCGCCTCCTTGGCGAAAAAAAAAAACAGCCACCGAGAAATCCAAAGCAAACACTCGGAGCGGCGGGCAGCTGCCGCCTTCCAAGTGGCTTCTCTACATATGTCCACGCCGCCGCTTCTCCACACAAACACACACACACCCGGCAACCTCCCCGCGACATTCTTAAGGGGTTTTCCTCGCTCTCCTTTGGACACTGCGAGGAAGGACGCGGGTCGGGGGGGTGGGTGGGAGAGAAGGAACCAACAAAGCAGAAATCTCAGCCTCCCCTGACACCTGTTTTCCAAAACACCTGGGGAGGGGGGGGAGAGAGAAACACCAACTCGGCCAGTTGAGCAACTTTACGGGTTTCCCGGGCGCAAATATTCTGGGTAATTTCTTGAGACTTCAAGCAGAACAGTCCTTTTCAGCAAGGGGGAGGGAAAGAAAGAAAAAAGAGGAAGGAACTACAAAAGGTCCTTTGCCTGGATTCAAAAGTAAACCAACAATGAAAGTTTCAGAGAATTGAGGGTGGGGGGTGGGGAGAGAGGCCACTGGGGTTGCTAAGAAATCCCACCAACCTGTTTTGATCTTACGGCGCCCGGAATCGAGACTCAACTTTTAACACCCCCCACTCGGCGCATGTGGCTGCCTCTTTCTTGCTGTCTTGCCGCCGCCTCCAGCTTCGTCCCTTGCGGTGCAGAAATGCCCGAGATCCCCCAAAGTTAAACACCTCGGAGACAAAGAGAGGGGGGGAGAGAGAAGAGGGTGGGGGAGAGAGAGAGAGAGAGAGAGAGAGAGGCCGAGAGAGAGAAAAGAAAGCTCTAACACAGTTCGGGCATGGTCATACTTTTCTCCTGCTCAAGCTTTTGCTGTTTCCTTCTCTCGTATCGTAGTGGGGAGGGGGGGGGTGCCTGCTTCTTCCTTCTTCTCTTCCGTTTTCCTCAATGGAAGTCTCAAGGGGGGGGGGAGTCAATCTCTGTGCCGTGGGTCCCTCCTCTCTCTCTGTCCCATTCAGACGGGGAGATCAGCGTCTAATCACAGGGGTTGTGTCTGTACTGGAGATGTGACTTGAGAGCTTGGAAGGGAGGGGTGGGAGAGCGAGTTACTTCCAGTTTTACCATAATTCATCTAAAGCAGGTGCAGCTCGTTTTCAAGCCCACGGGTCCTGAATGGAAGAGGAAGCCACGGCGAGGGGGAGATAAAAGAGGTGAATGAGAGGGGAAGGGACGCTATTGAAGCAAGAGGAGTTAAAGGAAACGGGGCCTCTCTTGCGATCTGTCAAGTGACTTTGGGGCCTTTTAGTACCTGAGCGGGCTGCTATTCCTGCCGAACATAGTGAAGGCGATCCATACTTAACTCTCTTTTGCCTTTCTCCTTGGTTTGCTCCTCTGTACTTATTATGAATGGCCACTGTGATAAATTAATCCCTAAAAGAATGCAGATATTGAGTTTGTAGTTTGTAAAGTGTCCTACCGCGTGATTGTGTCCTAGCCGATCAGGGGTGTACAATCTAGTCAACAAACCTGCATGTGTAATGCAGGAAGGATTTTCTTCAGATGTATGGGCAGTGGTGTACACTGGAGATCTAGTGTGTGAAGCACATAGTTCATACAAAGATGATGGAATGAATAAAGGATTTTCACATGTGAAGCTAAACTCCGTCATTGCACATCTCACATCCGTAATGCCAATATCAACACATTAGGACTTTCCTGCACTTCGCCTTCTACAAAAAGATTAAGATGACTGCATAGACACAGTGGGAAGCTCAGTTTTATGTTTCATGTTGATGCATGAAAATGTTCAGAATGCAAGACTGAAGTAGATAAGTATTGATTGTACCCTAAAATCAAGCTATGTGATAGAAAATCATAGTAAGATGAGAGTGGTGTGAAAACCGTGGTAAATTTTATTTGTTCATTTTGTACACCTTTTTAACTTCCCTAAAATGGGATACGATCTAAACTTATGCAGGAGTAAATGAAAGGAATTACTTTGGAATACAGTTTACACTGTAAAGGTTTTTTAGATCTCTCCAAATTCTTCTAAAATTTTGGTCTGATTAAAACCAGGTCAAT